TATTTCTGGTTACGCCACTGAGAAGAATTTTCTTGAAACGTGACAAAATAACAATTCGAAAATTATTTTACTCCCTTGGATCAGTCCTATTGTTTCTTATCGGATGTTGTATAAAATCCATTCGATGCAGCGCACTATTTCGCAAAATTCCTTCTTTTCCTTCCTTTCCTTCTTTTATTCGGATTTCCTTCTTTTTTTTTGAAAACTTCCTTCTCAAAATCCTTCTTCTTCGTACCCCCTGGCTGCGATCCCTGTAATAGCTACACGTAAACCAGGAATAGCTTTAAATACACGATCTTCAATTATAAATTTCATTTGACCAGTAGATAATTTATTATCAAGTTCTTGTTGTTGTCTCATAATTTCCAAATATAAACTGTTTTGTTCTTTTCCATCTTGTTCTATATTACCATCAGTTGTTTGTGTAATATTACTTGGAATATCACGATATGGTTTCATAGCTGGAAACAATAAGACTTCCTACAAAATTGATAAATAAATTCAATTTTTTTTGGTTTTTATTAAATTATAAGAAAAATAATATTGTCATACTACATGTGATATTTTCCATGAGAATATAAACATATGAAAAAATAAAATATCTCACTTATCAATAATTATAATCTAATGCATTTAAAATAATAAAGAAATTTCAAAATCATAAGTTTATAAAGAATAGTTGTGAAAAACAAGTTATTTTTCATCCATGATATATAATTGTTCGATTGATCTAGAGAGAGAGTTGCATTTATTGCCGAATTTTTTTAATATTATTTTTTATTTCAAAACGAAATTGAAGATAAAAAAAAATAGAAAATCTATATATCTACAAGCAGAAATCCAAAAGACTTAGACAAATATTGATTGATTTTTCTTTTTCGTCCAAACAACTATTTCTACCAGAAATCGATTTTTACCGAAAGAAATGAATTAATTTCAAGGAGAAATGAAAAAAAATTCAGCAGATATGAATTAGTTTTTCTTTTTTTCGTTTGTAAAGTTTGTTATTATCAGAATTAATAAAGAATTGATTTTGATATTCATAGTCTTTCTTTTTTTTCTTTTCTGTTGTTGAATCATACTATGAAAATTCGACGAATGATTTTTTTTTCATTCTTCGTTGGATATTTGATTCTATGAAGAGGACTTATATCTTCACGTACTGATCCAATCGAAAATTGCCGAGACATCTTTAATAGAGTATCTTATATTCTTTCTTTTATTTAGAGTAATGGATCCGGCCCCGTTCTCATGGGCTGTTAATGAATATCAAAATCAAATTCAAAGCGATGTTGATTTATTTTTTCTTTATACTAACTGGTATTTACAAGCACTCGAGTTTCGCTTATTAATCAATAATACAGTAAGTAAAATACGCTTGTTTATTAATTGTTTTTCATGTTTAAACATAGAGATTCAAAATACTCGATTATATGAAGTATAATCAGATTCAATATCCAATGAGAATCATTGATAATGCTAATTGTGAAATGACTGTATCAATGTCAACAACTCACAGATTTTTTACAGTTGCCTTCGAGGTAAAAATATTAGCAAGATTTTAGTTTTTTCCTTTTTTCTTTGTTGTTTAGAGAGGTGGCGACTCACCGAAAGCAACAGTAATCGAAATATTTATGAAAGATTTTATTGATGAAGAAGCACAGTATGTAATAATTTTTTTTATATTATTCTTTTTTATTATCTTATTTTGTTGGTCTCTTTCATTAGTAAATTGATCAATACAGGTGTGTTCTTGGATTTGTTAAGTAGACCTGTTCTAGGCCTGATCACCTAATTATTCAACACAAGAATTCATATTATGGTCTCTTACATTTCTATATAAATTTAGATTGTTCTTCTTCCATCATGTCATGATCAACTTTACCTTAATTTAGTTTTTTTTAGTTTATAACCATCGGTATTCTTTCTCTCATTTTATTTTTATTTGGATATTGTAGTCAAATAAATTTTATTTAACTACAGAACATCAAGGGTTTTTCCTTTACCATTGTCTTCTTTTTGACAGAACACAAAACAAGTAATGAATAAGTTCGGCAATTTAATATATGTACTTCAAATATAAAGTATCTAAATGGAATTCAAAGAATAAAATGCACCGTTAAATATTTTTATGTTATTCACATTTTAATCAAACGTTTATTTAGAAAAGACAATTCGACATAATTAATAGAGATTTTATTTAAAAACGTCTTGAACATTTTATTCAGATTAAATATTTTATATGTCCAATATTTACATCGATCGTTACATTGATAAATGATTAATTAAAATATATTAATTTAGATAGTAAATCTGGAATTTTGACTTTCTTAAGAATGATAAAAGTGGCAAAAGAGATTTTTTTTACCATACATAATATCAACCATGGGCTATTCCTTCATGATATTGAAAGTGTATTATCATCTATTAATATTTAGCTAGTGTTATATAAAATTTCAAGAACACAAGTCCATGTTATTTAGAGAAGTTAAAGGTGTGAATATAGGCATGAATGAAATGAAGACACCAACGTGCACCCTAAAATTAAAAATCCTCGTGATGTTTTTAATGACAAAAATTCATGTCGTTCATTCTTTTCCATATCCAAAAAATTGAAAATACACGAGAAAAAAATGAAGCTGATTGATAATCTTATGTCTTTGAGAGATTAGTTTAAAAATACACCATTTTTAAAATATAAGAAAATCATAGATAAATTCTAGGTTAGAATCAATCTGAAAGATGTATCTCCATTAGAGAGCTGCGGGTCCGGGTCCGGGTCCAAAAAAACATGGACCCGCAGCTCACTAATCTCCATGCTTAGCTTCTTCAGAATGGCCTCTATTCTCACGAGAGAGGTGCTCCAATTATTTTTGACCCTTTTGTTTTATTTATTTTTGAGCATTAGTGAATTATAGTGACACTAAGAAAACTTTTGAGACTACTAATGTCTATGATTTTTCGGTTCCAAGATATTATCGAATTTGTGTCAGAAAAAAATCAGCATTTCATCATTTTCTATTTCTATTATGTAAAAGAAAATATTCGATAGCAAGTATTTGATTCTTGTACTTCATAGTCTTCCTCAACTGAAATTTGAAATTCGAATTCATTAGTGTCTTTGATCAAACTTCTTAGATATATTTAAAATTTGATGTCCTTAGAACTATAGAAAATAGATATGTAACACTTTACAGTTCAATCATTCATAAGAACTAAATTAAAACAATTGTTGATCAGATAATTTTAAACGAAGGCAATCAAGTGATCAATTCTTTTTCTCAGAGCTTAGCTTCTGATAAAATCATTGTATATTATTGGTGTGCATAAGACAACTCCAGTCTGCAATTTAGACTACTAACCTTGAATATACCTATCATATGTATTCAATCAGTCGGACAAAATGATGTGTTTAGAAATGCTGGTTCATATGGAACGAGTTAGCGATAAGATGCCATTCGTACAAAAGTAATTGAACGATCAAAATCAGCTCAGCTACCTGACATAAAACTGTGATACATCTATTAGAGAATCGATATTTTCAAAAAAAGACGATAAAAAGCGTAATTTGTCTTGAAATAAGATTCGATCATCTATAGGAGGAAGAAATTTATGGGCATGAGTCTTAGAATTTTCTTCTATGTTAAATCTTCGATAGTCGCTGAGTTCTAGTGATCTGCATGACAATGAATTTCAGTCACAATCATAAATGTTTCTGGACTTCGCTACAATTAGTATTGAGCAAGGTATTTTAGTCTCGATCTAGATTTGATCTTGATAGCTTTTCCTGTAATCTCAATCATGGCTTAGGAAAAAGTACTTCAAGATTTATTCATAGTAAATCTAAAAAAGTCTTAAATACTCGTTTGTTGCCTAATTCAACCGATCCATGTCTCATTTCTGTAGTCATCTCTTCTAAATTTACCTTTCATTAATGTAATTTATAATCTAATTCACTAAAAAATTCTTTTAATTCCAGTTCTTCACAGAAGTTTTTATCGTAATTCTGATGCAAGTAAGTCTCTAGTATTGACAGCTCCTAAACGACCCTACTGAAGGATCAAATGCACCTAGTTTTGATTGATTCAATATGATGAATGCTTAATTGAAAGTTTTTGAACTTCACTCGACTCTTGTCATGATCACCCCATTTTATAAATCTATAGTATGGTCGCTTTATTAAATTAGTTTCTGTTTGAATATTCATGAAATATCTTTTAGAAGAGTTTTTCGAATAAATTAAAATCATTTTATTATTATCTTCGTAAGCCTAAATAAAACAGTACAACACTATATAGATATGAATTAGAAACAACTTGTGCAACAAAACATAAATACATATCATAAAAATTAAAATGTCTGAAATGGAAGAATATTATTCATCAGTAATATTCAATTTGACTTCTTGATCAGTAATAACATCAGTATTAGCAATAGCATCAGCATCGACAATAGCTGCATCAAGTGCAACTGTATCAATAAGTAATTCTCGATCAATATTTTGTTCTTCATTCTCAATATTAAGATTTTCATCTTCTTCATTTGAACTTTGAGTTTCTTCAGTTGAAAGAGTTGATGATGTATTACCATCTTGTTTTATATCTTGTACATCAATATCATTTTGTCTATCAAGATCACATAATGATTGACCAAGTTTAATTGGATCACCAGGTTTAACATTAAAAACAAGATTGTCAGGTGCTTCAAAAACAAGTACAACAGTAGAACCTTTAAAAAAAAAGGAAAATAAAAAAAACTTATCGAAGAAATATTTCTTGTATTTTAACTCACCAAAATTAAAGTCACCAAAATTATCAGCACGTTTAAGTAAAATTTCATTTGAATTTCGAATTGTTTGAAAGGGTTTATCTAATCTTGGTCGACGACGAATATTTGTTTTTCATTCCTAAGAATACAAAAAATAAAAAAATAAAAAACAAATTTTCCAATTTTTTTATATTGAATTATTTTCTTACAGGATCAAAATGAACATTAATACTACCAACAATTGTTGCTCCAACAGCTGTCATAGAAAAAATCCATATTTCCATGAACCATAATAAGCTGCTCTTTCATTTAAACAAAATAAATTCTGAAGCCAATTAGCAACTTTTGGATTTACAGAAAATAAATGACCAATATAATGACAACGCCAACTTATTTGCCTATTAACAAAAAATTGAATAGAATCATAAAGATGTTAATATAATATACCATTCTGTTGGTGAATGAAATCGATGATAATCTCCAGGAGCAAGATAAATAACCTAAATACAATTTTTTTTTCTGTTTAATAATCATTCAATTTTTTTTTTTTGTCGTGACACAACATTTACATGTGGAATAGTATAGCGTCGATACTTCCATATCAAAGTAATTTTTTGAGAATGAAATTGCCGGTAGGGATCTACTGTAGTTCCCAATCCAAAATTCACATTAAAAGAGCGAAAGAATTGATCTGTTTTGAGAACGGTATTTCAGTCATAGAACAAACTTTTTTTTTGTATCTGGAAATGTCTTTCTCAAAAAAACAGAACAAAATCTGCTCGGACAGATCATTTCTAAGAACTAAACTGTTGAAACTGCACAGTGCCTCAGATCAGAAGTAGAACTGTACTTGTCGATCTCTAATTGAGGATGAAAGCACATATAGAAAGAAAGCAAGACTTGGTGGATCCTGCTGAACTTTTATTGATTCTTATATATCTGTTTGTACTTTATTCAAATTTGTATACTCACTAAACCAATCGACAGATCTTACAGATAAATCTTGTCTATGAAAAAACAATAGAAGTTTTGAATTATTTTGGAATTCATTTGCTCCATGAATTCTATCTTATCTGATGAATTAAAGTTATGTGTATGAATAAAAAAGAAAAATCTTTCCGATTGTCTGAAAAGAACGTTCAGATAAAAGTTACATTTTTTGATCATATCCCCTTGAACTGATTTATTCATGGATGATGTTATCATAGAATTTTGAGAAGTTACTCTTTTGAAAATACTGAAGAAAATGGTTAAAAAAAGTCGTTATAAGTGTCAGAACCAGAGCTGACAGAGCGCCATGCCATTCATCAAGTGAGGTTGAAGTTTGAAATTTTAGCTTGGTCGAATTCCTTTGTATAGTATTGGATCAGGCCAAAATTGTTGGCATATGTATGATGTAATATTATTTATCCTTTTCATGCCGTCAAAATCGGCTCAGTTTTGACAATTAATTGCGATTTTGACGAAAAAGTCATCGATTAATCGACAGTTTTGTAACAAACTTCAACAGTAAGTATTTATTTATAAAAATTATTATTTTTTTCTTTTTAAAATCCATAAAAAATGACTCTAACAAATCGTGATAAAATCATCGATTTTTGTGCCATTTTGATCGCATGGATAGTACAACTTAAAACATAAGATAGTTTCACAAACTCATGATTTTGTGAAGATATGGATTACCTCTCACACACAGTGCTCACATTGTAGGATGCCTGTGTTTTCCTATGATAATTAAATTTCTTTCCAATTATATGAAACAGTGCTGATATATTCAAAAGCATTTCGATAAACCTAATGTTCCTTGTATGAAAAATAGTTTTGATGATTTATCTCTTTGTTTTGATTCACAATTCTGTACAAGAACTTATCATCATGTTATCTTCATGGAAACAAATTAAGGTATATAACTGAAACTAAAATGATACATTATAATAAGATTATAGAATTTAGTGGATATTATAAAAAAAACCAGAGACATCAGTCGGCCTGGTTTGTCCTGCAGATTAGGTGGAAAAATGTATGACCTTTCCTGTCTTCCCTGTTCGAATTTTGCTATCCTCTTCCTTCCTCTGCGGCTTTTTCTTAGACCTTCTTTATGGATAATTTCTTTTGTTTCCATATCATTGAATTAATGAAAGAAAGAGAAGAGAAAAATTAATTGTATGCATAAGTGCCGATGTGCTAGTATCATGCATGAAAATGTCAGTAAATCGTTTTTTTTTTAATTATCATACTTACTGCATAATAAAGTGCATGACTACGATATCTAAGTAAACTTTCAGCATATGAATGTGCATCATCATAATCATAATTCGAATTAGATCTTGTTTTATTTTGTTGTTGGAATTTCATTAAACCAGCCGTTAATGGAACACCAAGAAATGAAGATGCAGTATATGTTATACCTTTAACTTGTTCAATAAGACCACGAGATACTTTACCACATGTTAAAACATGACCATCACATGTTGATACAATTGGAGATTGTTTATCTATCGGACGTAATTCCATTTTTATTTTACGACGAAAAAATTCTGATATTGTACAATAAGATTTGAGATCTTCATTATACATTTCATGAGGATTACATGAGAATATTTTTATATAAAAATAAAAGATTAATGGACGAAGCCATACAGGTAAATAAAGACGACTTATCCAACCCATTACACGTGAGATTAATCTAAGTGGTAATAATTTATAAATTGATATCTAAATTAGAAATTTTTACAAGATCATTTTCATTTTGATTATAATAATTTAGATATTTTTGTTTTTTTAATTTTCAATTACTTTTGATGGTGCTTTTGGTTTCTTTAATAAATTTCTTGGTTTTTTAACGAAATCTTTCATTCTTGCTATTCGTTTTGCAGTTGATGATAGACCATGTATTGATTTCAACATTGTATGTCTAACACCAGTACCTAATTTTTGTCGTACTAATGCTGCACTTCGTTTAACTCGTCGACTAACAAGAAGTGGTGTTAAAATAAACGTCATGACAAGATTAAATGGACTTGATGCATCATCTTCTTCAATAAGTTCTTCATCAGGACAGAACATTTTTAATGAATTAATAATACAATAAAAGAAACAAGACTACAATAATATTTGAAAGATATAAGAAACTTTTGTTTGTTTTTTACTGAGAATCTAGATGTTGAGATATAGAAAAAAAAAATTAGAAAATCTTCACTTTGATTTAATTCAACGAGTTGAAGTCTTATTTTTTTTTTTATAATAGAGGCCTATGGAAAATATGATTTTACTTTGTAAATATCATTATTAACTTTCCTAAAGAAATAGAACCGATTATTAAATAATAAAAACAAAAATTTATATGAATCGATCGATAGATAATTTTTAATTTAAGGTCTTCATCTATCGGACACATACACATAGTTTGTTCATATAAAGAACTAGATAAAATTAGCAGAAGTCAAAACAGATTCATGCAAATTAGCTAGTCAATGTTTGATCTGATATTTTTACTCATAGGGTACGTCTCAACGTGATTAGATTGCTCGGAAAGTTTCTCTTGATACCCAAGATTTCTTCTCGAGATATTCATTGATCAGAAAACTTTCATGTGTCATAGGCAAAAGTCACAATTACAGGTGTAAGCCGAGCCACTGCCGAAACCTAAACAGATGTTAAAGATTCTCAGCAGTCGCCGTCGTTGCACAAAAAACATACTAAGATTTTGCATATTTTAGACATTCATGATCAATTTTCGCGAATGTTCTTACTAATAAAAAAAACCAAAAACAAATCTGCTTTTTGTATAAGTATTATTTGGTATAGTAGCCCACAGTATGACATGTATATCAAAGAGTTCTAGCGTTGTATTTACCATTTATTGAGTAGAAAAACCTAAGGGACTATTTCAAAAATTTGAGTTTCTAAATAAAAACTCGAGAAAACGCATTTCACGGTAACGATGATAAAAATCTGTCAGAAATTCAATAATCTGATTTTAGACTAAAATTATATTTCATTTTCTTTTTAACTAACTTATCCAGTTTCATACTAGCCACTTCTCTATTAACATTTTCTACCTTTTTCATTTCAAAATCTCTCGAAAATAAGAAAACAAAGAGTCATAAAAAATCTTGAATCGATGCCAATCAACACATCGACTTACACCTCTAATCAGGACACTAACTCTTTTGATCATTTAATATTCCGAGAAAGGATTATGCTTCTCAAGAGAAACTCTCCGAACAATCAAATAACCATGCGATGTACTTATGAGCAAAACTTCACGTCAAATTTTGGCTAACTAATTTACGCGAATCTTTTTTTTTTGCATCTGCTAATCTCATCTAGTTCTTTAAATGAATAAACTATACGTGTATCCTACAGATGAAAATTTTGAATTAAAAATTAACAATCGATTATATTTCTTCATGAAAGTTAATAATGATATTTCACGATAGTATTTACTTTTTCATATTCATATGAAAGCAAAACAAAAATACTTGAAATAATCTTCTATTACAAAAAAAATAAATAAATAAATAAATAAGTCAACTTATTTGATTGAACTAAAGTGAAGATATTCCTATTTAATATGAACTAGTTATTTTTGGTGCACTTAACATATAGTAATAGCATAAATGACAAGAAAGAGAAAAAAAAAAAAAGAAAAGTCGAAAACCAAAAAAGATTTTCGTTTGTTCTACAATGCTTTTTAAAAAAAAAGAAAACAATAAACTAAAGTATATCTACAGATAGATGTGGAAAGACTTTTGCTAATATATGCTGAAATGTCACAAGAAAAAAAAATGTTTTTTTTTTAATTCTTTTTTATAACTTTTTGTTCTTCTTTACTTTTGCATCACTTCTAATTACCGACATATTAATCATTAATTGTACAATCACATAAACCATGAGAATAATCAATGCAAATATGATTTTTCCAAATAATGTACTATGAAAGATAAATTTACCAAACCAAATCAATGAAGGAATACCAATAGTAACAATCCAAAAAATTTCAATTAAAAGATCAGAATAATTTCGAACAACAGGTACTTCTGGTACACCAAGACCATCAAAATTATCATGTTGAATAAAATGATCATAAATACGATCCTTTATATATATAAAAAAAAAAAAAAAAAAACAAAAATACAATCAATTCAAGTATGATTTTATACTCAATAATTTTGAGAATATAAAAGATATCTCATTATTTTGTTTTTTTTCGAGTTACCTTTTCTTGAAAAAGTTTATGTACCCATTCACCACATGTTGCATCATCTTCATATGGAATTTGTGATGTAGGAACTCGTCTACATAAGAAAAAAAATCTATATATATAATGTTCAGTGTGTGTGTGTGTGTGTCTGTCTGTGCCGGATCAAAGATTACAGATTCTAGAATCTTAAGGTTTCTCTGTATATATAATGCGGACTGTCTGATTTTCTATTACTGAATCAAGGCTAAAGGACAGATGTGAAACTTTACAGGAAAAAAAGATCCATGCAGTATGCACGGGCTCTCGCTAGTTATTGTATAAAAATACGTAAACCTTCCGGAAGAATAAACGACCATGACTTTCTGTTAAGGATCACTTTTATTACTAGCAAAGCTATTAGTGTAATTTCTGCAAGATTATTTCACTTAATCTTTTAAAAATGCAACGAGAAGGTAATTCATATATTACAAAGAGACATTATTGATATACCGTCTTTGATCGTATATCAACAACGTTTGTCATGATCTGTTCGGAAGGGAAGTTCAAATTTTTACCTTCATACTTCAATACTCCTTTTAGATGATGTTTCACAAAAAAAAACAGTATTCTCAATTTAGTCAAATGATGTTTTACTAAAAAAAAATCGATTTTTTTTAGGCACTAAAATCCACAAAACAGTCCGCTACGATTTTCGAAAAACTCATAGCCTTGTGTCACTCTGAATGCGAATGTGATTATCTATTTTAATTTACTTGATATAAAGTTGAGCTTTACACGAATGTCCTTTGAGTAATGTACGAAATATTGGTGAAGCACCATCCTTTGAAAAGCCAAGCATAAAATTATAAATACCTGGTACTGAAAAATAAAATGAAATAACAAAAAAATCAAAAAGAAAAAAAAACAAATAAGTTTTCAAACAATTTAGTTTTTCCTTTTGCTCCTTGCAAAATCATTGTAAAACCTCTTGTTCGTGGTAATATATGATATTTTAATTCTGGTAAATTTTTCTCTCGTGCATATTTCATACTTTCTAATCGTTTTGGTTCTGTAAATCGTGTACCTTCACAAGCCATCAAAAACTACAAAAAAAAAACACTTATTAGCATACTAAAATGTGGAATTCACATATGTTCTTTAGCCTCATTATACTAATACAAATGAAAAATTTCTAGAAGACTAACATTGTTTTCCAAGGAGATTGTCAATTGCCAGAGGAACAATCTGTTTTGTTTATACCTGCATTTCGAACATAAATTTGTCTCTATTTTTTCTTTTGCTTTGTTGTTTTTCATTATCGTACAACATTTTTCTTAATTTCATATTATTACTGATTTAACTGCAATAAATTTTATTTACATATCCATTTTATCTACAGTAAGTCTCAACAAACTGTTATATATCTGAAAAAGTTCACAAACACCAATATTGAATTGTTCCTTAAAATTATAATTTGTATGACTTGTGTGAAACTAACATGATAATCTGAATCAACATTCAAAATCAAGTCGATCTATGTAGGTTTCAAATATTTTCATGAACTCTTTTCTATGCTTTCCCTCACGTCAGGAATGAGTTAAAAAATGAATTTCATCTAAAAATTCTTTCAACATTCGGAATCAAGTTTTCAGGCTGTGAAATGATAGTAGAACTTAAAATGACAGATAAATAAACAATAAAACCAACGTTTTAATGAAATTCATTTTCTCATTCCTTCCAGAAGTGAATATTTCGATGAAAAAAGAAAATACTTCAAACTCACACAGATCGACTGAGTTTTGAATGCTGATTCAGAATATCATATTAGTTTCGCATAGGTCCTACTTTTTCTGATCGAAATATACTAAATATCAGTCAAAAAGACATAAAATCACGTTTCGACAATAATATCCTTAAAATTTCTTGTCCGTCACCAAATTGATAGATAAAAAACACTGATAATCATCAACAGCTGAACTCAGTGTATATGTCTCAGTCATTGACTATTTCAACCGACCACCAAACGACACTTTCAGACATCTTGTATGAGAGTTTGACATGGAAGAAACCAAATATCTCTATAGAAAAGAAGTGTCCTCAGTTGCTGTGAAATGGTTGGAACGGGAGACAAATCGCAAAACTTCAACTTCATAATCTACACTTACTAAATTTTTCTTCAATTAGTTCTACAAACAAAAACAAAAAAAAACCCAACAACCTACACTAAAATAATAATTATCTGGATAACCATTAAGAAGTTGTCGAATATGATGTTCTAATACTTTCTTATCACTTTCCCAAATACGACGTAAAAAAATTGATTCAGAAAAAAACCATGACCAACCAAGAAGTGGTATTAAACTAAGTGAACGTTTTCCAACAATTTTTAAACCCTATTGAAAAAAAAAACACAAAAAATTTTTAAATTAAATCAAACTTTTTCAAATTTTACTCCAAGTAAAGCAAGTTCTTGTACAACTACTAATCCAAGAAGCCAATCAATTTCATATCGATGATTAACAAGTATAATGGAATATTCATGTTGAAGATGTTTTAAATCTTGTGGATCAACATAAACTGTTACATTAGAATCAGCCCACCATGAATACAGAAAAGTTAATTCTAAAACAAAAACAAAAAAAAAAAAAAACAAACATATAATTTTAAATAAATTTTAAATACATACGACTCCATAATAATGTTCCTAGATAATAATTTATTCGTCGATATATTTGTTTACTAAATGGCCAAATAAAAATACATATTAGAAGTTGAGCAAAATTCACAATTAAACTACTAATAACAAAACAATAGCAAAGAAATATTTGAACCGGTAATAATGATTGAATAGTATTGAGAAATTTTCGATCGAACTTCATTAATTGAAGTCAATATTGATGCACACAGAGAAATAATATAGGAAATGAAAAATAGAAAAACAAATAAATGATATCATCATATAGACATATGATAATTAATGATATTTAAAATCATTATTCTACATACTAATAAAAAAGAAAACAAATATGATAATAATCATTCCTCTATAAAAAATTTATTTTATTTTCAAAGACAAAATTTAAATGGATGAGTAAAAATGACAAAAAAAATTCATTCCTATTATTATAAAAAAAAAACAAAATGCAAAAAAAAAATCGCACAATTTTCATGCAGATCTGAATTAATAAAAAAAAAAAAAAAAAAAAAAATAATAATAATAAATTGATTCATGTTTATATCTCAATAGCCAGCTATTCTTCCCTATAAATTAAATATCACATATAAATCATATTTAATTAATCATTTTTTTCTATCTCACCATAATGTGAACCACGTTCAATTTCTGTCACAGCAATCATAGCTCGAACACCAATACTTGCTATATAACAAATAAAAAATAATTAATTAATGATCAAATCGGATAAGCTCATTTTTTTGCCGTCAACAACATTGTTTACCAGTAAGATATGATACCGGATGACCTAGTTGTGTACTCAAAAAGTGAGTACACTATAGAATCGGTCAGTGTGTCCGTCCGGCCGTCCGTCCGTCCGTATACACGATAACTTTCGAAAGGAGAGTCAGATCGTGATGAAATTTTCTACACAGTTCAGTCTCATCAATGTCTCAGTCGAGTTCGAAGATGAGCCTGATTGGATGAGCTCTTCTTGAGTTATTGCAAAAATACTGATTTTTTTCCCTATGCTTCCCTATGAGAAAATCGACCCTTCTCTGTTTCCCTTAAAAACTTTTCCTATCATGGTCAATTAAAACCCCAACTATTATATGCCATTCGATAGAGAATTTCACGAGCTACAAAATGGTATATAAAACATAAGGAAACAAGAAAGCTAACTCACCTATTGCAAAGATAATTAAACGGAACTCGGTTCTGTTTTCGTCCACACTCTCTGTGATCTACAATTAGAGCTCTATCTTCTGATCACAGAGATGATAGTTTGAGGTTTTCTAAGGTGGAGAACTTGAATCTGTGTTCCATTCGCCTCGAAATCTCATTGGTTGACCAGTAACCAATAGAAATCAAGTTATAGGAAAAACGACTTTCTTAGGGTAAATGAAGGTGAAGAGTTCAAATCTGAGCTGTATTCACCCGCAAATCCTATTGGTTGAGCAGTAGCCAATAGAAATCAAGTGTTTATAGACAAGGTTTACCAGGATAATTTTTATGTCCACACATTCTAAGATGACTCATCTGTCTCATTCACTTTTTCTATGGGCAAGGTCAATATATCGTCGCTTTCGTAAGAAACTTCTCTGTCAGAGTCGAATAAAATCCCATTTGTTATATACCATTCGATGGAGAATTTTACGAACTACAAAATGGTATGTTATATATAAAGAAGTAAGAAGGCTAAGTCACCTATATGTAGGGGTGGAAAGTTACCGTTACCGTTCCCAGATAACGGTAACTGTTCCGTTACCAGTTACCGAGGAACGAGACAACGGACCTACTATTGGGAGTACTCTTGGGTCCTCAAGTCCTATTATTGGAGTGTACCCTTGGGTCCTCAAGTCCTATTATTGGGGGGGGGGGTACCCTTGGGTCCTCAAGTCCTATTATAGGGGGTGCCCTTGGGTCCTCA